GGACCCTGCGGGGGGGGGGAGAGGGGAGGCCCGGGGGGACGGGGGAGGGTGGGGCACCCCGGCCCCTTCACGTTTCGATTTATTTTCATTTTTCCCCACCCTCCAATCCCTTCACTCCGCTCAGTGCCTGGAAGAAAATTGCCAAGAGAAACAAAACGGACAAGGAAGACCTGTCGTCAGCAAAGATAATTACCGGGATTCAAAATACATGTTAGTAAGGGCAAAAATTCTGCCAGCTGAACAGCCGAAATACTACACAGGCGGCTGAAAATCCTCCGCGATGTGTTTGCGGAAAAGCCGGGCGACGCGGTCGTACCAGCGGGCAAGGGCACGTTTTCCACATGCAGGTATTTCTGGGTCACGTGGTCACGGTAACTAGCAGGGGGGATTTTTTTAAAATTGGCGGATTTGATTATCTCTCCATCGCTAATAGCCATTTTTAATAACTCTGAAAATACTGGGTAACTTTCAAAAGAGATTTTAGGTAAAGAGCAGAAGAAAACCAAGCTCCCGTAGTTGAAAACGGCAAACAAGACGGTTACAGACTTTCCAACGGGCGGCGATGACCGCAGGCGAAATAACCGCATCGCTGACCAGGAACTATTTGTAAGGCATCGGAGGAGGTTCGGCAGCTCAGGTTGGCGGAAAATACGTGTTGTAAAAACAACCTGCTCTGCTTTTTGGTTCTAGGAGCAGACCGAGGAAACACAGCCGGCTGCGAGCGCGGGCGGGGTGAAGGCACGCTGTCCGTCCTCACCGCTCCGGAGCCGGAGGCTGGGAAAGACTTGGGCAGAAGTAGATGAAAATTCCGTTGTGATCAGAAAGCCTCAGGTGACGGACAGTCGCAGACAAAAGCAAAGCAGAAGCGGGACCGGGAATGGATCGTTATCTCTGTGCTTGGCAATGACGTGAGCGCAAATGGGATATTGTGTCCAGTCCTCATATCCCTCGTGAAAACAAAAGAGGCGAATGAGAGGGGTTCTGGAGAGCAGCCACGGGAAGATGAGAGACGGGGAAAACAGCAGCAGCGAGATCCTTTCGTGCAGCAGAGAGGCGCAGAGGACAGCCCCCGCCCGGGGCTGGGGGGAAGCGGAAAAGCCAGGACAAAAATTCGGACAAGTACACATTTCCAAACTGAGAGCAAAAAAACCAACCCGAACCCAGAAACTGTATCTGGGGTATGGTGGATGCTTGCCCGCTGGGGGGTTTTAGATTGTTAAAAAAAAAAAAATAGGGAAAAAGAAGGGGATGATCTAGTTCAGAGACGACGCAACTGAGGTCAGCGCAGAGCTGAGCTGAACAGCAGGGCCAGAAGCAGGTCAGCGAACCCCCCCCGCTGGCCGTGGCACCGGCCGGGCTCTGAGCCCTCACCGGCCATTTGCGGGACGTTACCTTCGTTCAGCAACACGTACCTTGTGTGTTCGAAAAGGCTACACACGGAGGAAGCTTAGAATAACGCGGTTTAAGCGGTTGATTTCAAGGGGGCTTTGTCAAATTATCTTGCAGAAATACCGAACGAGAACTTACACGGTGTAAGCGCTAACTAGATTGCGGTGTGGTTTAGCTTGCCTGGTTATCTGAGCTGCCACCTGGCCAGGACACACGGACTTAGCAGCTCCCTGTTAATGAGCAGTCACAGGCAAAGATTTAAAAAAATCAGCTCATGAGGCTAAGTGAAAGAAAAGCCGGTAACTCCACGGCGCGGGGCGGCCCTGCCCAGCGAGCGGCACGGCGCGCCCTGGGAAAGGCGAAGGCTCAGCACCAGCGCCCGGGTGCTGAGCAGGTGCTGGGCCCCTACCGCGCGTTGTCGGTGCCTTATTATAAACCTTATTGCAGTAGCCCAAACAGATGGGCTGTGGTTTACCACGAGGGGAGACTGGGGGTGTCCATCCTCCTCACTACTGTCGGGCTGTTTGTAATACACTTAATTACTCTGGCTCTTTCTCACATTCCTTTTCTGCAATAACTTTCATAAAGTTTTATAACAGCTTATGCAAACCTAACAATGTTTCTCCACCTGATACTTTTCTTTAGCAATCCGTGCTGCCGTTGTGTGTCCCTGATAACCTTTCCGTTTTCCTGCCGAGAAGCTTTGTGTTTTCTCCTTTCGGTGTGTCCTGGTGATTCTCCGAATCGCCAAGGTCCTTGCTCCTCACCCGCTCCTCCTCCTGGTGCTCCGGGGGCAGGTGCCCGTCAGCGCACACCATCTGCTCCCTGACACCGCGCCAAGAGGCTACGCAGAGCAAATCTGCATCGTCAGCTGTTAGTCGTGTTGTAAAGCACGTTCCTAATTTTCTAACCATTATCGCTTCACCTTCTTCAGCATTAATTTCCTAGCCTTTTCACAAGAAAACATGGACCTGTTGGAGCGGGTCCAGAGGAGGGCCACGAAAATGATCAGGGGGATGGAACACCTCTCCTATGAAGACAGGCTGAGAGAGTTGGGGTTGTTCAGCCTGGAGAAGAGAAGGCTTTGGGGAGACCTTCTTGCAGCCTATCGGTACTTCAAGGGGGCTTATAAAAAAGATGGGGACAGATTTTTTAGCAGGGCCTGTTGTGACAGGACAAGGGGGAATGGCTTTAAGCTAAAAGGAGATTCAGACTCAATATAAGGAAGAAATTGTTTACGCTGAGGGTGGTGAAGCACTGGCACAGGTTGCCCAGAGAGGTGGTGGATGCCCCATCCGTGGAAACATTCCAGGTCAGGTTGGACGGGGCTCTGAGCAACCTGCTCTAGTTGAAGATGTCCCTGCCCACGGCAGGGGGGTTGGACTAGATGGCCTTTAGAGGTCCCTTCCCACCCAAACTATTCTATGATTCTATGATTCACTGCCACTGCATTTATGTTTCAGATTATATTTTTGTTGCAAAATGAATTTACTTTTACCAAAATGAGTCTTACTTTGCTATTTTCTATTTACATGTTTAATCTCTCAGGTCCCCTACCTTACTTTTCTTCCTGCAATGTATGATGCCTGTTAATTTCCCCCCACAGTTAACACAAATGCTGGGTAAAGTTCATCCCAAGCGACGGCTACGCAGTGTTATGCTACCAGAATCCTCCGGTGGCCCCGCCGGCCTCTCCAGCTTCCCCTCTCCTGTCCCCGGGTGTTTCTTTTTTTCTTCCTGCAGCCCTCCCTGCTTTCGCAGGCTGCCTCTCTCACCTCTTCTCTCCCGTCTGTAGGCTAGAAGTAGGCAAAGATTTTATGTTATTAATCACAATGTTATGGTTACAGAACTACAATAGTCTAAGGGGAGCTATTTCCTTCTAATTACTGAAATCAAAATAAAATTTATTATTGCTTTTGGGGAGACAAGCAGATTGACAATGTACTTGTTCTGTCATCCATGGTGAGGTAAGGAAATAATGCGAGTGGAAAAGAAAATGATAGACAATAAAAAAAAAGTCCTCCATCGTACGAATTATCTTGGCGACAAGAACACTCTGCTCTCAAGAACGCCCTGGGAAGAGTTATTTTCTCTCAGCCAGGAGCCCAAAACTGATGGAATTCCCTGCTTATTTCATTACACCATAGCTGGAGGACAAAGTGAAAACACCCAGGAACTAACTGTGTCTTGACCTCTAATTCCTTTTGATGTCCATGATGCCCTTCACTTCATGCCTGCTTCTCAAGTCAATCCAGATCTCAGCAGCTACAGAGTTAGGAAGGAAAAGCCCAGAACGCTCCTTTCCCCACCCAAACCACAAGCTGATTGATTTTTTTTCTCAGCAATTAGCTGTGCCATTGATACAAACAGTCCTGCCACCAGGATGGGAGGAGGCAATGACGCCTGGCAGTGCAATGAAACGTTTATTTGAATGCAAAGCCACTCAGGAAACCCATGTGGGGATTTCCAATTCAAATTCAAATTGAGATTCTGAATGTTCTTGGGTTGCAGAACAGAAAATTCCACCATGAATCATCAAATTAGTTCATAAGCAAATGCGCACCAAAATCAGAAACACAGCTAACGAACCGCGCAGTTGGCTGAATTTCTGCATCCCGAGTG